GGAAGGAAGGAAGGAAGGAAGGAAGGAAGGAAGGAAGGAAGGAAGAAGAAAAAAAGAAGCATTGATAATGACTCAAGTTACTAATATGAAGAGCTCTGAATTGAAACAAGTATGTTCCAGAACTAATTTACTGCATGGTTGACTTTTCTTTGAAATGATCCTTTTGATTCTATTTCCTAGGACTGTTGAACATGGGGAAGGAAAAGGCCTCTCTTGAGGAAGTATTAGCCTATCTCAACGAAATCTACTGTGGGCCAATTTCTATTGAAACCGCCCAACTTCAGAGCCAGGAGGAGAAAGACTGGTTTGCCAGGCGGTTCGAGGAGCTGAAGAAGGAGACATTTACCACAGAAGAGCGAAAACATCTGTCAAAATTAATGCTAGAGTCTCAGGTATAAAAGAAGCAGATAATATCAAATGGAAAAGGTCAGCTCATTTCCTAACAAGATAGATAGCTACTGAAGAGAGGAATTTAAAGCATTAACTCTCTGAACACATCCATAGTTGCCCCCCATTGGTTCAACACAAGAGACCATATAACACATATCACTTTTATTCTAAGTAGAAAAAGAAATAGACCGCCAGACATTTGAGCTGTTGCTTTTCTTCAAAGTACTTTTATCTATTTGTCTACTTACACCATAAAAGATGACAAAAGACTTAAGTTTTACTTTTCTTTTTGTTTCCTGAAGTGATCAAAAGACTATGTATGGAAGAGGTTCTTGATATAAATTTATGGGACCAAATTTCTGCTGTGACCATGTCAGAGCTAAGGCATGTTAAGATGACAAGCAGCCTCTTGCCAGTAGTTTGGATAATTGAGTAGTGTATGACCTCAATTAAATAGTGTCATAGAACCCTCTGCAGAAGATAATGTTCTGGGAGAGGCAATGAAGATCTAAGGCCTGGTCCCTAGTCTGGAAGGACTCACATACTTAAGTGGGTTCTTCTTGGAGTATGTTAATTCCACCAGTCCCTACTGGGTCTAGGGTCCTTGGCAGAGCTGTCCTGGATTGCTGTCTCCCTGAGATACGTATTAAAGGGGTGCTGCTGCAGCCACTGGGAGAATGTGGGGTAGTTTTGCAACACATGTAAACTTCCCTGCCTTTCATCTGAGCAGATGTCATTTCTCAGAAGCTAATATGTCTGGTGTGATGTTCTRTAGGAATTTGACCACTTTTTGGCCACCAAGTTTGCCACCGTGAAGCGATATGGAGGGGAAGGGGCTGAAAGCATGATGGGCTTTTTCCATGAGTTGCTGAAAATGTCAGCCTTCAGCGGGATAACTGATGTCATTATTGGGATGCCCCATAGAGGGAGGCTGAATTTATTGACAGGTCTTCTGCAATTACCTCCAGAGGTAAGTTCTTTCTATGTTTCTCACCAACACTGTAGAATGGACTGTAACAGAATAAAAATAATGTCAAGAATTACCTGTAGGGGGCTGGGGATGTGGCTCAAGTGGTAGTGCGCTCGCCTGGTGTGCGTGCGGCCCACGTTCGATCCTCAGCACCACATACCAACAAAGATGTTGTGTCCGCCGAGAACTAAAAAATAAATATTAAAAATTCTTCTAAAAAAAAAAAAAAGAATTACCTGTAGAAAGCCAGCTATGAACATGAGCAGTTGGACCAGGAACTAGCTTAGTGAATGGGTGGAAGTTAATGTTGACAGGCAGAGGCCAGGCACAGTGGCACACGCCTGTAATACTAGTACCTTGGGAGGCTGAGGCAGGAGGATCAAGTGTTCAAAGTCAGCTTCATCAACTTAGCAAGACGCTAAGTAAATCAGTAAAACCCTATCTCTAAATAAGATACAAAAAAATGCTGGGGATGTGTCTCAGTGGTTAAGCATCCCTGAGTTCAATCCCAGGTACCAAAGGGGAGAAAAAAAAAAGTTGATAGGCAGAAGTAGTATTTGAGTTGATTTTCTCTGTATGGATTCTTTCTTCTCTCTGCAAAGTTTGTTTCTTCAAGGATGATGTAAATAGAGCTTAATTCTGTTCTTTCAGTATGCTTTTCTCATTTTTTGCCAATTATTCAAATAAACACAGAGATCTATGCAATTTTATACAATTTTTGCTTATCAGAAGTCATGGATCCATTTATTGGCAGAGTTTATAGATAACAGGTTGTATTAATACTAATAACACATTGTTATTTCAAGAGACCAACAAGGGCTGGGGGTGTAGCTCAGYGGTATCCACCAGGTGACCAGCACGCTGGTTTTATTAAAGAGGTTCGTGGCATAGAAGTTAACTAGTGAGATCAAAATAAAACACACAGACTAAATTACCTTTTTCTATGACCAGGTCCGAGTCGGCTCTCACCTCTCTGGCTCTCACCTCGAACCACCCGGTGGGGCAGCAAGGCTTACTCAGGGCTAGCAGGAAAGAGAGAGAGAGCATGCCAGGGAGTGGCCTTTTATTGGGGAACAAGAAATTCAGGGGAAAATTCCATCCAATGAAGGTCGAGGGGGGCAGCATTCCAAGGTCAGGGTCAGTGATTGGCCTCAGGGTCAGTGGTCAGTCACATCCCCACATGGACAGGTTCTCGCACCTGGAGAGGGTGGGGATAGCTCCGACACAGTTTGGCCAGAACGCCTCACACCCAATCTGGGAGATGCCCAATCACGTGCGAGAATGGCTTCCCACAGCGGTACAGCACTTGTGTAGTGTGCACCAGGCTCTGAGTTTAATCCCCAGCCCCGTGCAACAAAAAGAGAAAGAGAGACCACCTGTGTGTGTTTGTTTTGCTGTGATTTTGTCCCCTCTTAAAATGTTGGCACTTCTGGGCTGAGGGTATGGCTCAGTGGTAGAGCACTTGCCTAGCATGTGCAAGGCCATGGGTTCCATCCTCAGCACCACATAAAAATAAATAAAATAAAGATATTGTGTCCAACTACAATAAAATAAAATAAAATGTTGGTACTTCATTTGATTCAGAAGCTCTCCAAATGGTTCTGTGCCTGCCTTTAAATGATTCATATTTATAATAACTAGAAAAGCATTTACATGACATTTTTATTGGATTATTTAAGCTAACCACCTTTTCTGTGGTCTCCACTGTATTAAAAGACACTTTCTTGTATGTTTATTCATAATAGCTTATGTTCCGTAAAATGCAAGGCTTGAGTGAATTTCCAGAAAATTTCTCAGCCACTGGAGATGTCCTGTCTCACCTGACCTCCTCTGTGGACCTGGACTTTGGTGCCCATCGTCCCCTCCATGTGACAATGCTACCTAACCCCTCACACCTTGAAGCCGTTAACCCCGTGGCTGTTGGGAAAACCCGTGGCAGGCAGCAGTCTCGACAGGATGGAGACTACTCTCTGGATGGTTCTGCTCAGCCTGGGGACAAAGTCATTTGCTTACAGGTACCTGTAGCTTCAGGAAGTGAGGCCAAAAGTTGGGAAAAACAGACAAAAGGAATGTCTGGGTTGATAGGTCTTACAGGAGGTTATAGACATTCAAATGAAATTAAGATAACATTTGGGAAAAGAAAATTCTGGAGTTATAAAAATGTAGTAGCAGATATGAAGTCTTGTCTCAGAGCTTCTGACTTTAACCTGGTGCTTACACTTGTCCTGATATGATTGAGGGAAAATCCATAGGCAGAGCTACTCCTTCTAAAAGGACATATGTCACCACTTCTCTGAAAGTGTGGCCCTCTCAGAAATTACGTATAACCACATATGGGGGCTGAGGATGTGGCTCAAGCGGTAGCACGCTCGCCTGGCATGCATGCGGCCCGGGTTCGATCCTCAGCACCACATACAAACAAAGATGTTGTGTCCGAGGAAAACTAAAAATAAATATTAAAATTTAAAAAAAAAAACACATATGAACATACCTATAAGAATGTGGATTTGGGGCTGGTTTGTGGCTCAGTAGTAGAGTGCTCGCCTACCATGCATGAGGCACTGGGTTCAATCCTCAGCACCACAAAAATATAAAATAAAGATATTGTATCCACTGTGTGTGTGTGTGTGTATATATATATATATATATTTTTTTTATATATATATATATATATTTTTTTTTAAGTATGTGAATTTACTTTGTTTGCTGGTTTGTTTAAAAACTTTAGGATTGGGGTATATCTCAAAGATAGATAGAGCATTTGCCTTACATGTGTGAGGCCCTGAGTTTGATCCCCACCACCTAGAAAAATAAAATGAATGCCTTTGGCTTTAAGGAAAACAAAAATTATTATTGTATCTCTTTCTTCATATATCCGCCCCCCACAATTTTTGGTAACCCAACAAATATCATTCAGAGATTTAGTCTATGGGTCAAATTTTCTTCTATGAGCATTTATTACATATGTACCTTTAACTTCTGGGAGAAAATTAATTCTCAATATCAGTAATGGAGTCTTCAAACCCCACAGAAGTAGATACGTATGTAATGCCATAGAATATTCTGCTCTGTACAGAAACAGCCACATTATCCTATTCATGTTAATTTTTCATGGGCCTGAAACTTGTTGCAAATAATAATAAAACTTGTTGGGGATAGACAGAATTAGATTTGATTATGGTATAGTATTTCTAAATAAAAATTGTCTAATCATTAGCCMTATATTCTCTTTACCTTTCACTTGACTTAATTCATTATCTCTAAACTATTTTAGTCATTCACATTTACCTAGTGCATTGAGTATATCTTAAGATTGACTTTTGAAGCAAGGGGTGAAATGACCATTTCTTTAAAATGATGTGACTTTGCCAGGCTCAATGGAGCACACTTATGATCCCAGCAATCCAAGAGGCTGAGGCAGGAGAATAGCCAAGTTCCAGGCCAGCCTCAGCAACTTAGCAAGACCATGACTCAAAATTTAAAAAATAGATAAATATAAGGGCTGAGAGTGTAGCTCAGTGGTTCAGTGGTACTGGGCCTCTGGGTTCAATCCCTATTGAAGGAAGGAAGGAAGGGAGGAAGGGAGGGAGGGAGGAAGGAAGGGAGGATGGAAGGAAAAAGATATAATACTAACTGCCTTCCTTTGTCTGTTTTGTCTTCCTCAAGTCTTTTGCCCTGCTATGTCCTTATGTCTTTCCTTGTGAAGTACATGATTCTGAATTATATGGGGCTTCTAAATTTGAACCCTGTAAAACAATGGTGGGTGAGATTTCTAGTGCTAATTTTTTCTATTTGTCTTCTGTTTGTTGTTGTTTTTTGTTTTTTGGCAGGGTCCTGGGGATTGAACTCGGAGGCACTCAACCACTGAGCCACATCCCCTGTCCTATTTTGTATTTTATTTAGAGACAGGGTCTTGCTGAGTTGCTTAGCACCTTGCCATTGCTGAGGCTGACTTTGAACTCTCGATCCTTCTGTCTCAGCTTCCTGGCCTCTGGGATTACAGGAGTGCGCCACTGCACCCCCCGGCTGTCTTCTGTTTTATCTTTGAGTTGGAACTGATGGAAATGAATTCTCAGTTGTGATCTTCTGCATGTTTCAAGATGACTCCCCTTCCATTGCCCATCCTCACCCTTGCATTTAACTGGCAAGCTTCCAACTTACCCAGTTTTTATGTTTGAGGACAATTATTCCTCCAAAACTTTATCAACAGAGCACAGTGGTCTCTTTAGGTTTAAGAAGGAAAATAAAATCAGCAAATGCTATATACATGCTTTAGCATCAAGAATCTGAAGATTGCCAGGCACCATGATGCACATCTATAATCCCAGTGACCAGAGAGGCTGAGGCAGGAAGATCAAAAGTTCAGGGCCAGTCTGGACATCTTAGTGAGACCCTGTCTCAAGATAAAAAGGGCTGAGGATGTGTATCAGTGATTGCCTACCATGTGCGAGACTGTGGGTTTAATCCCCAATACCACTAAAAGAAAAACATAAATCCTAGGATTATGAGAAAATGCTACAATTTGTTAATAGATGTTATCTTTTATTAGATTACCTGAGTAATGCTGAACATTTCTGAAAAGGCACAGAAGAGGCAAACATCTCTCTTTCTTGTTGTACTGATCATTTTTACAACATTGTCCCACAAGATGTCATAGCCAAGGAGGCCTAAAGGTGAGGAGGAGTACTCAGATAGAACCCTTGACCCTGTACTGGAGTTGTGGCTCAGTGGTAGAGCGTGTGCGAGGCCCTGGGTTCGATCCTCAGCACCACATAAAAATAAATAAACAAAATAAAGGTATTGTGTACAATCAAGAAATAAATATTWAAAAAGAACCTTTGATCCTGTGTATACTGAGTATTGGACTTTATTTGTATTAAAAAATATTTTTGCAGTACTGGGGTTTGAACCCAGKGATGTTCTACCACTGAGATACATCCCCAAACCTTTTCCTTTTATTTTTGAGACAGACTGTAAGTTGATGGGACTGGCCTCAAATTTGGTGATCCTCCTGCCTCAGCCTCCTGAGTACCTGGGATTATAGGTGTGCACTACACACTCTGCTTAAGTATTGGACTTTATGATGTACCATAGTGAAGAAAAGACAAAAACTCTGGAATTAAGAATTCCTAAGTTCAAATCCTATCTTTGCACCTTCTGGCTTTACATATTTGGTTTGGTTACTTAGGTTCAATGGTTACATTATGTTAGGGCATAGAGAAGCATTTTATTTAGCTCAGGAATTTGGTTATTTATGATAATCATCTTTTAGTGAGAAGTCCTTAGAGCCAGGCTACTCAGGAGTGACTTGGGAGGCTGAGGCAAGAGCATCACAAGTTTGAGGCTAGCCTCAGCAATTTAGCAAGGATATAAGCAACTTATCAAGATTCTCTCTCAAACTAGAGATTAAAAGGGCTGGGGTTGTAGCTCAGTGGTAAAGCACACCTGGACTCAATCCTAAGCACACACACACACACACACACACAMAAAAAAAAAAAAAAAAGATAAGAAAAAGAAAGAAAAGAAAGAAAAAGAAAAAGGAAGTCAGAGCTCATATTCTAAAATCTACTATTCCTTTATTATTTGCTTTAAATGTAAAAATAACCTCTCCCCCTACCCCCTACCTTTTTCTATCACCTTGTTTACTAAGTTTTGGGATAATAGTCCAATCAAGCAGGCTTTGAATATTCTGGAAGAATAACATTTTAGACATTCTCCTATAATAATATACTGCTTTGTCCTCAAACCCTCTTTCCATTTATGTGTGGTGTGCTTTTCTCCTGTACCTCCTTGTCTTTGTTGCCACTTCACTCTCATATTCGTTGTGGCACCCAGGATTAGTGATGGGAACTTGATGCAGTCTCTCTTTGGTGGACAAGGTGATTGGGGGTAGGAGGGGTTCAAAGCTTGCACTATTCCTTACGTTTGCAGGCTCTTTTCATGCAAGAGTTCCTAAAGCTGATTTTTCTCTTTGCATCTACAACAGCCCTTCCTCCTGTGGTGCTGCTGAATGTTCTAGAAGGTTTGCTGAAGTGATGAGTATAGGTGGTGATACAAGGTAGAGGAAAAAGATGCATCAAGTTATCTTTGAAAGTTGTTTATGAGGTCAGCCTAACCATTCTAGAAAATCCTTTAACCTGCATATTAGGAAGGCAGAGGAGTAGTGAGAGGGTGGTCATTTGTTATTCCTGTTAGTATTTTTAATAGTTTATTCTGATCTGAAAACTTCAATTTCTTAATCTCTTATATTCTTTTTCTCCCCATACCCTGCCCCATGTTTTAGGTTCACGGTGATGCTTCTTTCTGTGGTCAAGGGATTGTTCTTGAAACGTTTACTCTCTCTAATCTCCCACATTTCAGAATTGGTGGGAGTATCCATTTGATTGTCAATAACCAACTGGGTTACACCACTCCAGCCGAAAGAGGAAGGTCTTCTTTATACTGTAGTGACATTGGTATGTAACACAGGAGAATTGCTGTTGCTGGGTCAGACAAGGAATTCCTGGAGAAACTTATAGTTATTCAGTTTTTAATTTTGGATCAGATATGGACAGTAGTCACCAACAGTTGCCAAGTTAACGTTTCCTCTAAAGTCTGAATGTAGTCTTTATTTAATTTATTCTTTTGTTTTGGGTGTTGAGGTTGGAACTGAGGGCCTTGTGCATGCTAGGCAAGCACTCTGCCACTGAGCTGCATATGAGCCCTGAGTATGATCTTTAAATTTAAGGAAATAAGAAAAAGACTTGTGTTAACTTCTAAAAATAAGCTGTCTTAAGAGAGGAGCAGGAATTTCATTACCCCCTCCTATTTCACTGAGTTACAATGATTGTTAGATGGTAGGACCTGCTCTCTTTTGTGAGTGCTTTGTGATTAATCTGATAGGAATAGTGAGGATCCATTCTGAAACTTCTCTTTGGAGAAAAGCAATCTTTTTCTAGGATGCATCCTTTACTGATCATTTTTTCTCAGGCAGAAAGATGACAGAATAACAATAACAAATGTTAAGTATTGCATACCAGGTATTGGAAAGCATTTAACACTTTACATACATTAACAGGTATAACGTTAACTATTGGAAGCCCTGTATGAATTATGAGTTTGTTTGAACCATTAACAACCAGACCTAGCTACCTTTGAGGACTTGGAATGTCTTCCCAAGTAGGCAGTCACTAAGGGGACCAGGGTGGCAGGGTGCTAATGTCATCCCAGGTTAACTGACTGACTGCATCTCGGCCACCCCTTCTTCAGGGAAGCTCGTGGGCTGTGCCATCATCCACGTCAACGGAGACAGGCCAGAGGAAGTAGTCCGGGCCACACGACTGGCTTTTGAATATCAGCGCCAATTCCGCAAGGATGTGATTGTTGATTTGTTGTGCTACCGGCAGTGGGGCCACAATGAGCTGGATGAGCCTTTCTTCACCAACCCGGCCATGTACAAAATCATCAGGTGCAACTATAAGCCTTTGTTTAATATATCCCCTGACCTTACAGTGCTTGTGTCATTGTGGTGGTTATAGTTTTTGTCAGTATTTTGCAGGGCTGGGGATCAAACCCAGGGCCTTGCACATGTTAGCAAATGCTTCACCACTGAGTTATACCCCTGACCCTGTAATATTTAATAGATGCTCTTAGATAGGGTGACCAACTTCCTTGGTTTGTTTATGACATGAGAGTTTCAGTGCCGAACTGCAATGGTCCTGGGCAAACTGGGATGGTCACCTTGTGGGTCTCAGGAGAGCTTCCCATATTTTTCAAACTCCATATATTTATTTATTGAATAGAGAAGAGGCAGCTTAACAACTCACTTAGCAGATGGGAAGACTGAGGTCAGAGCACTTAGGCAAAGCCTTGCCTGAGCCTCTTAATGCCTGAGCTGAGGGTGGCATTGTAAGGATTAGGAAAAGGACTGCCACAGAGCTAGGAAGTAACAAAAGCATTTATTGTTTTTGTGATACTGGAGATTGAACCCAGGACCTCCCACATGCAAGGCAAAGTGCTCTACCACTGGGCTCCATCCCCAGTCAACTTTATTTTTAATTTTGAGACTAAGTTGCCCAAGATGGACTCAAACTTGCAATCCTTCTGCCTAAGCTTCTTGTTTAGCTGGGATTATAGGCATATGCCACCACGCCCAGCCCACAAAGGGTTTTAATGAAGGCTTAGATTTGTGCTGTCCAAGTACAGAAGCCACTAGCCATTAAATGATTATTGAGCACTTGAAGTGTGGCCAGGCCTGAGGCAGATGCGCTGTGAGTATAGCAAACACACCAGATTTCAAAGACTTAGCATGTGAAATAGAAAGGCAAAGTATCTCCAAGCTTTCTATATTGATTGGGTATTGAAATGGCAGTATTTTTTATATGTTGGTTTAAAGAAAAATATTATTATTATTTTTTATAAAAATTTTTAGTTGTAGGTGGACACAATACCTTTTTATTTTATTTATGTGGTGCTGAGGATCGAACCCAGAGCCTCACACATGTAAGACGAGTGCTTTATTTCTGAGCCACAGCCTCAGCCCCCAAAATACATTATTAAAATTAATTCCAACTGTTTCTTTGGCATTTTCTTTTTCTAGATACTAGAAATTAATTAGATACCCCTCCTTCATCCTGTTTGCTCGTAGGCATACATTACAGCCAAGGAGCAAACTCAGTGACATTTGACAGGCCTTTCTGGACATAGCAGAAGAGTTCTGTTCCTAGAGGAACAAAGCTGGGTTCTGGGTTTGCTCAGGGCTGAGCAGTTGCCGGACTCCATTTGCCTCAGGCCCCACGTAAAACACCAATCCTGCCTACCTCTCATTCTTGTTAGGATTAAATGTGATAATACATGTAAACAGACTGTACAGCTTAAAGGATTATACAAACAGAATAGCATTGTTTTTGTTGTGATATTATTGTTATGAATCAACCAGGTGCCAATTGTTATAGTTAAAGGATCATTAATGTAATCTGAAACTGATGTTGGTAACTTTGGGTTCAGTACTTTTTGAAATAAAGGCTGTGCTGAATGGATAATTAGGTGGGTCAGTCTTGTAAATAACTGTCCAGAATTTACCAGCTTGTAGGAAAAACACCGCTAATGGTTTCTGCCTGAATGTAGACAGAGGCTTATAAAGGTAAATCTTTTTTTCTTCTTTGCTCATAAGAGGAATTAATTAATTAATTAATTAAAATTTTATGTAATGATTTTGTAATTAATTTGGTAACTTCTTATTGAGGTAAAAATCATAATACGAAATTTCCCCCAGTATTTTAAAGTGAACAATTCAGTAGCATTTAGTACATTCACAATGTTGCGTAGCCACCACTTTATCTAGTTTTAAAAAATTTCCTAAGTGCCTTTTGATGGTGATAGTATCCTACATTACCTTTGAGAGTGATTGCTTCTGTCTTAGATTTTTGCAGATCAGATTGACTTTCTCCCCCTTCTCTCTCGGACAGAGCCCGAAAGAGCATCCCAGACACGTATGCAGAGCACCTCATTGCCAGTGGACTCATGACCCAGGAGGAGCTCTCTGAAATAAAAGCCTCCTACTATGCCAAGTTAAATGAGCATTTAGCCAACATGGTCCACTACAGCCCCCCTGCCACTAACCTGCAGGCCCAATGGCAGGGCCTGGTTCAGCCAGAAGCTCGAATTACCACCTGGAACACAGGCGTGCCCCTTGATCTCCTGCAGTTTATTGGCATAAAGTCTGTGGAGGTGCCGAAGGAACTGCAGATACACAGTCACCTTCTAAAGATGTATGTTCAGGTGAGGAACTTTGAAATAGCTCATTATTGCTTTCTATTTTTGTTTGGCAAAGGGATTGATGTTGCACTGGTCTTTTCAGTTGGATATTCATTTGACAAATATTTATTGTGTGTTATTAAGTTCTAGGAACTGATTCTAGAGTTGTTTTGATGCTGAGAGCCAATAATTCAGATTTTCTTTTTATTCCCCTCCATTTATTTATTTATGCATGTGTGCATGTTTAATACATTATATGTACATGGAATACATGTTAATTTAAAATGTGCATAAATATCTATTTTAGTTTTTCCAGTCAGTGAACAGAAGGTACTTTAATTCTTTTAGGTAGCTTAAATAAAAGAAACAAAATTTGATACATATATCATAATGATAACCATTTAGATATTTTAAAATGCTCATGTTTTATATACCATCTTATGCTAACTATAGTATGACAAACCATCCTGGTATGTCTGGGACTTAAAAATTTTCTGGAACATAGGACTTTCATTGTTAAAACCAGGAAAGCAAAGAATTAAAGGTCTTCATCTTTAAACTCACATGAGGGCTGGGGATGTGGCTCAGGCGGTAGCGCGCTTGCCTGGCATGCGTGCGGCCCGGGTTCGATCCTCAGCACCACATACAAACAAAGATGTTGTGTCTGCCGAGAACTAAAATAAATAAATAAATAAATTCTCTCTCTCTCTCTCTCTCTCTCTCTCTCTCTCTCCCCCCTCCTCTCTCTTTAAAAAAAAATAAATAAATAAACTCACATGAAGGAACTCTACCCTCAATTATCTCAAAACACTAACTTTGCTCTTGGAGTTTTTATTATAGGTATAGACCTATTCCAGCATACTATGTGTCGCCATCCACCTTAAGAAATAAGGTATTATGCTGGGTGTGGTGGCACATGCCTATAATCCCAGCAACTTGGGAGGCTGAGGCAGGAGGATTGCAAGCTCAAAGCCAGCTTCAGCAACTTAGTGAGGCCCTAAGAGCTTAGTGAGATCCTGTCTCAGAATAAAAAATAAAAAGGACTGGGGATGTGGTTCAATGATTAAGCACTCCTAGGTTCAATCTCTGATACTAAAAATGGAAAAGAAACAGTATAGTACAAATAAAGTTTCCCATGTACCCCTCCCTGATTTCATCTCCTTGTGTCCCCACAGAGGTAACCACTAATCCCAAGTGTATGTTTGTTTTGCCTGTTTAAAACTGTATGTAGCTAGGGGGCATAGCTCAGTGGCAGGATACTTGCCTAGCATATGCAAGGTTCTGGATTCAGTCACCAGCACTACAAAAAAATGAAAATAAAAATTAAAAAGCTAAAAATAACCATTATAATTGTTATTAAAAATAGGTCCTCTGTACTCTGTTGTGTGTATTGGTGTATGTGTGTGTGTGTGGGGGGGGGAGAGTATTGGGGACAGAACCCAAGGGTGCTGTACCACTGAGTTATATCCCCAGCCCTTTTTATAATTATTATTATTTTTTATTTTGAGAGTCTCRCTAAATTACTGAGACTGGCCTTGAACTTGTGATCTTCCTGCCTCAGCCTACCAAGCCACTGGGATTACAGTCATGTGCAACCACACCTGGCTCAACATATTTTTTATACTTATCTTTTTTGCATCAATTTTTTTTGAAATTCTTTGTGAAAAAGAATATGGTATCTTAAAAGTTTCTTTTGCTCCCACCTCAATTTTACAGTCCAGAATGGAGAAAGTGATGAGCGGAACAAATTTAGACTGGGCCACAGCAGAAACCCTTGCCTTGGGCTCCTTACTTGCTCAAGGTAAGACATTTCTGTTTAGTTTCATAGGTGATGGAGAATACTTTAAATGACATTTGTTACATGTGACCTCTGTGATTTTCTGAATTACAACTATCTACTATCATTTTTATCTACTAGAAAAGTTCTAAAACATTCTACTGGACAATATTAGTTGATCGTGGTATAAGTCATATTGAAAGCCTTCATCAGAACATAGACAATACAACAGTATACTGAGAAATACAGGATCAGTGCCAGAAGTATTGGAAAGCATTTTATATTTTTATATTTTCTCTAAAAAATATAGAGCAACACTTCTTTTTTTTAATTTAATTTTTATTTTTTAGTTATATTGGTGGACACAATATCTTTATTTAATTTTTATATGGTGCTGATGATCGAACCCAGTGCCTCACACATGGTAGGCAAGTGCTGTACCTCTGAGCCACAACCTCAGCCTCTATAGAGCAACACTTCTTAAAAGAAGTGTGAATAGCCATAAATTATATGAAGAAATGTCCAACATCTCTAGCCATCAGGGAAATGCAAGGCAAAACTATATTGAGAGTCCATCTCACCCTAGTCAGAATGATCATCATCAAGAATACAAAAAAAAAAAAAAACATTAAATTCTGCTGAAGGGGCTGGGGATGTGGCTCAAGCGGTAGCGCGCTCGCCTGGCATGCGTGCGGCCCGGGTTCGATCCTCAGCACCACATACCAACAAAGATGTTGTGTCCGCCGAGAACTAAAAAATAAATATTAAAAAATTCTCTCTCTCTCTCTCTCCTCTCTCACTCTCTCTTTAAAAAAAAAAATAAAATAAAAAAATAAATTCTGCTGAAGGTACAGGAGAAAAGGAACCCTCATACACTATTGGTGGGGTGTAAATTAGTATAGCCACCATGGAAATCAGTACGGAGGTTCCTCAGAAAACTAAAATCAAAACTACCATATGACCCAGCTATACCGCTCATGTGTATATACCCAATGGAATTAAAGTCAGAGTATTATATAGGTACCTGCAAACCTATGTTTATCATGGCAAATTGACAATAGCCAAGTAATAGAATCAGCCTATGTGTCCATCAACAGATGAAAGGGTAAAGAAAATGTGGTGTATATATATACAATAGGGTATTGTTAAGACAAAAAAGAAATAAAATCCTGTTATTGCAGGAAAATGGATGGAACTGGAGATCATTACATTAAGCAAAATAAGTCAAATTTAGAAAGACAAGTATCATGTTTTACTTCATGTGGAATCTGGGGGGGGAGTGAGTATGAAAGTAATGAGGAGACTGAGAAGGAAGATGGGGGAAGAAGTGTGTAAAGGAAGACAATCTGGGGTGAACAGGATCAAAGTATGTTATTTGCAAGTACAAATATGCCACAATGAGACCCATGAGACCCATTTTCCTGTTCAATTAAAATACACTAGTAAAAAACTTCTAGGACAACTAACAATTCTCCATTCTTATACAACTTTACCTTGACTTTTAACTATAGAACAGGAATGTTTTAATAAGGAGAATCTATTATCCTTAGGAAAAATTTCAAGATGAGCCAGTGTATAAGAATTCAGACAGCCAGGTATGTGGTGTGTGCCTGTAATCCCGGCTACTCAGGAGACTGAGACAGGAGAATTATGTGAGCCCAGGAGTTCAAGGTCAGCCTGGGCAACATGTTAAGACCCTGTCTCAAAAAAAAGAGAGAAAAAGAATTCAGGACCACCATGACTTATTACTACTACTTAAGTTTTTCGTGGAGATCTGGATTTTWAAAAAAAWATATATATTTTTTTTCTTGATTCTTTAAGGTTTCAATGTCCGTCTGAGTGGCCAAGATGTTGGTCGTGGAACTTTCAGTCAAAGGCATGCCATGGTGGTTTGCCAGAAGACCGATGACACCTACATTCCTCTGAACCATATGGACCCTAATCAGAAGGGGTTTCTGGAGGTAGGACATCCTGGTATCTATTGTAAAATTCAGGTGCCAATTATTATAGTTATAGGATTTTTAAAAAAAATATTGTTTAGTTGTCAGTGGACCTTTGTTTTATTTATTTATATGTGGTGCTGAGAATTGAACCCAGAGCCTCACACATGCTAGGCAAGCGCTCTACTGAACCATAGCTCCAACCCCTAATAGTTATAGGATTCTTAAAGCAACCAAAATAAATGTCAGCAACTTTGGGTTCAAGACTTTTTAAAATAAAGGGATACTAAGTGGGCAGACAAATAGTGTGTACATTTGAAATGAAAGGCTAGAGTAAAGCTATTTCCTTCTGGCTACTTATCTACAATCACATAAATGTCAAACGGATATGTGTTTTGTCAATTCAAAATTGGCAATATATAGGGCTGAGACTGGGGCTCAGTGGTAGAGCGCTTGCCTCGCATGTGTGGGACCCTGGGTTCGATCCTCAGCACCACATAAAAATAAGTAAGTGAAATAAAGGCATTGTGTCCAACTACAACTAAAAAATAAATATTTAAAAAATTGGCAATGTAAGGGCTGAGGCTGTAGTTCAGTGGCAAAGCATTTACCTGTGTGAGGCATGGGGTTCAATCCTTAGCACCACATAAAAATGAAACAAATAAAATAAAGGCATGCTGTCCATCTACAACTATAAAAAAATTTTGCAATATAATCTGCATGTTGTAAGTTACTTAAGTTAGTTGTAAGTTAGTCATTGAAGCTAGTCAAAGTTGTGGGTAGTAAGCCATTACCTGTTTTAAAAAATTAAAGAAAATCAAAACAAAACAAAATACACCATTTCCTCCAGGTTATTGTTTTTTTTTTTTTTTTTTTTGTAATCTGTGAATGGGGAACCTGTGTGTTCTCTAAAATTTAGCAGGCATTTCTGGGTGCCACTCTCTGTGCTGTTTTCTTCATCTTAATGGCAGGAACTCAGTTGCTTCATTTTTGTTCTCCAACAATTAGCATAATGTTTATGAAAATAAAGTATTTTTAAGGCCAGTTCAGTGGCATCCCATCTCCTTTTTTTATTCTAGCTTTTGGTTTGAGAATATAATGTTATTTAGTGATTCTCTATTTAAAAATGTGCTTGGTAAGAGCAATATTCCAGGAAGATTAGTTAAAGGTCATTTTCTTTAAGTTAATTTAAAATTCACCTTTGGATCAAGTCAGATTGGTGAACTAGATACTGAAATGTTTTATATCTGTTCTACCTCAAATGAGGCTTTCATTGAATTGCTATTTGACATTTAGTATCATTTTCAAATATTGCTACTTAAAAAGCCCCTATTATATGTCTTGTATTTGTTATGAAGATACTGTTAAAGATAGTATTCATTTATTATCTAATACCAGGTCCTCTGTATCAAGATCCTAGGGAAAAACCCCTTTGTTAATCTTGGAATTGAGAATAAATGGAGTTTATTAAGCAGTGCTTTAACTTCATTCTATGTATTGAATTCTGTTACCAGCCAGTGTTTCCTTATCAATGGTGGCTTCTAGGAAGGACTAGAAATCAGGGCAGCCTCTGTCATGAGTGACTAGGTCATCAGGATATACACCTAACTCTCTTCTGTGTCTTAATCTTTATCTATATAAACTTTCTTGGACACTTTTTGGAATAAGTAAAAGCCTTAATAGATTCAAGAAAATAGGTATCTGAGGGCTAGTGGTGTATGGGGGTTTAGCTCCCTGGAAGAGTACTTGTCTAGCATGCACAAAGTTCTGGGTTTGATTCCTAGCACTGAAAAAAAAAAAAGTATCCAAGTGTATACAAAGTACAATAAATTCATAGGAAAAGAAGCAGCTATACCTAAGTGTGGAAGACAAGAAATGCTTGGGAGAAGAAGCTTCATTTGAGTTAAGACTTGAAGGACATTAGGTGCTGTGTAATAAGTGCAAGGAGAACATTCTAGGTAAACACAAGAATACATATAAAAGTTGTGAGATAAGAGAGCCTGGCTTGCTCCAGGAACTACAAATAGCTTCATGTGACTAGTGTTTAAACTGCAGTGAAGATACAGGAGTAGAGAGTGGCCATTTAGTGTACCCATGCTGTGAAAGGCTTTGAAAGTCACGTAAAACTGGAGTCATAGAGGAATTGTGACCCGGTGAGCAGATTTTTTTTTTCTTTTTTCTTTTTTTAAATTTTTATTTATTTATTTATTTATTTATTATTGGTTGTTCAAAACATTACAAAGCTCTTGACATATCATATTTCACACATTAGATTCAAGTGGGTTATGAACTCCCATTTTTACCCCAAATACAGATTGCAGAATCACATTGGTTACACATCCACATTTTTACATACTGCCATACTAGTGACTGTTGTATTCTGCTACCTTTCCTATCCTCTACTATCCCAGATTTTCATATTAGGAAGAATGCTCGTGACAGTACTCAGGAAGTCAAAGGTAAAGAAGAATAAGAACTTAGGACAGTTGGGAAGGACACTCCCCACTCTTCTAGGAGGCAATCTTAGGAACCAGAATCTACAGTGCAGGAGCAGTGTAGGTGGAAGTTGGAGCCAGATTGAAGGACTATTCAGAAAATGAAAGTGATCTGGACTGAGTGGTAGAGGTAGGGTGAGTAAAGAAGGAAGACTTGGTTACATCCTAGCTTGACTTGGACAACCGAAGAGTGTCAATGACACCCATTCAAATGAGAGCAGAAGGACTGCTTTGGTAAGGAAAGATGTCGATTTAATTTTTTTTTTTTTTTTAGAATTTTTTTTAATATTTATTTTTTTTTAGTTTTTCAGCGGACACAACATCGTTGTTTGTATGTGGTGCTGAGGATCGAACCCGGGCCGCACGCATGCCAGGCGAGCGCGCTACCGCTTGAGCCACATCCCCAGCCCCGATTTAATTTTGAAATATAGCTTTAACATGGCAGAATGATATAGAGGCTTTTTGGGTTATAGTGTTTTTTGTTGTTGTTGCTGTTGTTGTTTATTTGTTGTACCAGGAAATGAAGCCAGAGGCGCTTAACCATTGAGCCACAACCCCAGCCTCCCTTTATTTTTTATTTTGAAATGGGGTATCACTGAGTGGCTGAGGTCAGTTTTTTAAAAAATYGATGGACATTTATTTATTTATTTAGTTTTAGTATCAGGGATTGAACTCAGGGTGCTCAACCACTAAGCCACATCCCCAGACCCCCCCGCCACACCTTTTTAATATTTTTCTTTTCTTTTCTTTTTTTTAGTTATAGATGGACACAGTATTTTTCTTTCTTTATTTTTATATGGTGCTGAGGATCAAACCAAGCACTTCACACATGTGAGGCAGGTGCTCCATCACTGAGCTACAGCCCCAGCCCCTCCCCAGCCCTTTTTTATATTTTATTTAGAGATAGGGTTTCACTGAGTTGCTAAGTACCTCGCTAAACTACTGAGACTGGCTTTGAACTCAGGATTCTCCTGTCTTAGCCTCCGGAGTTGCTGGGATTACAGGAGTGCACCACCATGCTGGCTATTTATTTATTTTTGTGTGGTTCCAAGAATTGAACCCAGTGCCTCACACATGCTAGGTGAGCGCTCTACCACTGAGCCACAACCCCAGCCCCTGAGGCGGGTTTTGAACTAATGATCTTCCTGCCTCAGCAGTCCAAATTGCTGGAATTACAAGTGTGTGCCACCACTCCCAGATGACATAGAGGGTTTTTTTTTTAATTTTTTTAAATTATTTTTTAATATTTATCTTTTAGGTGTAGATGGACACAACACAATGTATGTGGTGCTAAGGATCGAACCCAGGTCCCACCCATGCTAGGCTAGCACTCTACCACTGAGCCACAATCCCAGCCCTGACATAGAGGTTTTTATGGTAATTAGATATGCATACCTGGTGCTAATAATGGATGCGGATCCTGAGATGGATTTAGAAGTAATCAGGGTGTAGGAGTTTTGAAACCACAGGGGTGGGAGAATCTGCCAGAGAGAGCGGAGTAAGAGGAGGTCCCAGGGCAGGATCCTGGGGGAAATAACATTTAAAGGGCAGACAGGGGAAAGGGTTTCATGAGTATCCAGAAAGGCAGGAGAACCTTGAGTCACTGTGTCATTGTGCTCAAGGAGGGAGGTGGTGGTGGCGGTAGCGGCGATGGCAGAGGCAGCATGGCTGGTGAGTGGCGGGCTGCGGTTTTGGTCTTTTGGGGCTGAGGAGGGTGAGAGGGGCAGAAACCGAGGCCCTGGGCGAGGGGATCAGGGCGGGCAGGTGGCCCACGTCTTCGCGGCTGCAGTGGCACCACCTGATTCACGCTATCCCGGGACCTGCGTCGAGCGGGGCAGCCAGGCTGCGGGCCAGTCCCCCTGGCCAGCAGGTCTCGCCTCAGTTTCCCAGGGTGGAGGGGTTGCACTGCYGGCCATGGCAGCTCCACTTTGCTGTATGCCAGGCACCTAATTTGTGAGCTTCTAAGCTCTGGACTGCACAGAGAGGTGCAGCGCCCTGCCCAAAGTCACACTGCTGGAACATGGTGGGATGGGCTTCCAACACCTGGGCAAGCCTGCACCCCTTCCTTTCCTCCAGTCCTTCTCCCAGCAGTGCTCCAGCTGGTTCCCTTGGGTCCTGGTGGGACTGCCAAGGGTGTGTCTCGGATCCACTCTGAAATTGGATGCAGCATGGTTTGTGAGTTCATTGGGACAGGCTTTTTCTATGCCTTTTGTCTGATTCCTGGAAGGTCTTCCACCCCTAAACTATCTATTGGCCCTGTGTGAGAGGGCAGAGGTGGGCTTAGAGTGACCTTTGTATGCCAGGGGTGGGGTCGCTAGCCCAACAAAATTGGAATACTGGAGCTGAAGCCTTGCCTCAGGCAAAGGAAAGTTTGATTCCCCTTGAAGCACCAATTGTAGTCTGGAACAGTTGGTTGTCAACCCCAGAACCAAGGCTCCTCTCGTTGGTGTTGAACGTTTATCAAGCCCACTTCGCTACTGAGCAGTGAGGTTCCTAAACAACAGAACCTGCCTACACACATAAGTGAAAGTGGGTTTGATACTTTCACTTACATGTAGAAGAGAAATAAAGGGAGACAATATATGAAAAAAAAAGGAGGGAGGGTCAGATAAGCAAGGAGGAAGGGTCAGATAAGAGGAAGAATGACAGGCCAATTACACTTAGCAACTGGGAAATAGAGGGTGAGGTCATGCAGAGCTGTTTCCCAGAGAGACAGGCAGAAACTAGGTTATACAGATGGTCCCTGGCTTATGCTGGTTTGACTTAGTTTTGCTTCTTTATGATTGTGCGGAAGTAATACATATTCAATAAAAACCATACCTTGAATTTTGTACTTTTGCTGAGCTAGTTACAGGTGGTACAGCCCTCTCTCGTCATGTTGGGCAGCTGCTGTGGGCCACAGTTGCCAATCAGCCACAAGATCATGAAGGGATCAATGGATACTCTGTAGAGTGCCACATAGCTGAGATAGAATGTTTGGTGGATGAAATGTAGTACACACACTTCGACTTTCGGGATTCTTGTTGTATGATGGTTTTATTGGGACATGACCCAATCTCAAGTTGTGAAGCATCTGTACTTAGTTTACTGTGAAAGGAAGCAATGGGTRGGGGAGCCCAAGTCATAGGAATATTTCTTGTTTAATTTTAAAGCTTTGAAGTGTCTATGTGCTGAGGGGAGAAAGCCAATAAAGGAGGGTCTAGGTGATGGAGCAGGTCCCAGAAGAAGCAGAAAGAAGGGATGAATACATAAGGAGTAGGTATGCCATTTGGGAAGGAAAAGTGATGAGGAAGGCGGTGAGGACAGGTGAAGATGCAAATAAAGTGACTATGCAAGCCCTATTTATGACACTCATACAACTGAGAAATGTGGCAGGCTTTTTTTTTTTTTTTTGTGGTAATAGGGATTGAACTCATGGGCACTCTACCTCTGATCTGTATCTCATATCGCCAACTCTTTTTAAAAATTTTTGTTTGTCTTGAGATAGTATCTCTCTAAGTTGCCTGGGGCTGACCTCAAACTTGCTGTCCTCCTGCCTCAGCCTCCCGAATCACTGGGATTACAGATGTACACCATTATGCCTGTTTTTCCAGTGACTCAGGAGGCTGAGGCAGGAGGATTGCTTGAGCTCAAGATTTTGAGGCTGTCCTAGATAACATAGCAAGATCCTCTCTTTAACAAAATCGAACAAACAAAACACCCCCCAAAAAACCAGAAAAATTTTTTTAATGTTAAAATAAACACAAAATTACAAAAAAGTTGGTTATATGATACAAGGGAACTTTTTTCTCATCCTAAACCAACCATTTGCTAGCAAGTTATCAACCTGATATCCTACAGTTTGTATTTCCTACAATGACAGTCTCCTCCATCACCCAATATAACCATCAAAACCCAGAAATTAACATTGATACATTACTACCAATATATTTCTCAAATCTAATCCAGAATTAGTTGCATTTAACTATCATGTCTCTTTAACCTCCTCAGAGATTAATTTTGTATTCTGCTTTTTAAAATCTTAATATAACATGATTGTTCTTTTGCCTTATCATGAAAATGGGATGCTATAATAATGAATTCTGACCAAAATAGGCCTTTWTTTTGTAAGTTTTCCATCTTTATTTGAATGACTTATAAAAAAAAAGTTTTGATGACCCATTTTTACTCACAGCTCCAAAGGTAGGCCATCTGAGAAATGTATTGCTTATCTTTGGAGAAAATCTTTAATACCCATATTCCAACCTCTTTTTCTTCTCCTCTCTTCGTCCTGACTTTTCCCAAATGCATCACTGATACTGAGCAGTAAGGACTGTGTTGATGAATGAAAGCAAAGCTTCCCTCTGCGTCCCTCTTGCCTTTGAGAGGTTTGTATAAATGTGATGCTTTCTCTTTGTGGGCTCCTGCCAGATGTCCCCTTGCATGCCAATGTTTGGTTCTCTTTCTTGGGATTAGGTCAGCAACAGTCCCCTGTCAGAAGAAGCTGTCCTGGGATTTGAATATGGGATGAGCATCGAAAGCCCAAAGTTGCTGCCCATCTGGGAGGCTCAGTTTGGTGATTTCTTCAATGGAGCCCAGATCATCTTCGACACATTCATCTCTGGAGGTCGGTGTCAGTGCATGGCCTGGACATGAATGAAAGGAGGACATTGCTACTATTGAGACTCCTGCATTCACAGCATCTCTGGATAGTCKCGAACTTATCCTGTCCTCCACTGGCATGTGGCAGCTGTCAGACAGCTTGACAAGCTGAAGGGAAGAACATCGTAGTGCTCTGTCAGCAGCGGGCCCTGTACCACTCAGCAGCTGGGCAGGGGGCACCTTCTGTCTCCTGGGGACTGTGCCTGGCTGTAGGAAGTTGTGATGTACCTGCCAGCTTCTAGCTGTCTGACTTCCACAGCTATTCTGGGGGTATAATGAGTGATTAACTATAGCACAAGAAATCAGCAGGCAACAGTGAGGTTTTGTGGTGAGAGTCAGTGGTAGACTTGGAAGTCTGCTCCCCACAATCCAGGTCTCTCAAGTGTCTGACATTTGAAAGTTTCAAAAACAGTAACTGTTTATTGTAAAATTTCAGTGTGTATTAAGAAAAATCTAAGTCTCCCCAGAAATTCAGTTCCATTTTCTGGGGGTACCTGCTCTTAGATTTTGATTATATGTCCCAGATCTTTCCTATAGTTGTGTTTCTCTATGACTTTTTATTGTGAGGAAAGAAGTGCCCGAGGAGCCTGGACTTTTGACATGTCCAGAGACTGTTCTGAAGTGTCCTCCACCTTCCATTTGAGGACAGTGGCCTATGTTGTCAGCCATGCTGTGAGGAGGGGAGGAGATGCCCATTCTTGTTAAGGGTTGTGTCTGCAGTGAAGTCAAGAGTGGGACATACTTTCTGTGAGGCCAGGACCTTCATCTTTTAGTTTATCTTCTACTCACCAAAGCCCAGGACCCATGTAATTATAGGTTTTTCATCAAGCAAGTATGATGTGACAGTGCTGGCAGATGCATGTAATGGAAAGGTTTTGGGAAGTTAGATCTCAAACTAACATCTGTTTTACTCTCCAAGTCATGACATGGCAGACCATTTTGTACCTGCTTCATGGAGTTCTTATTGCCTGCATCCTGCTTTTCCAGGAGAGGCCAAGTGGCTCCTGCAGAGTGGCATTGTTATTCTCCTTCCACATGGCTATGATGGGGCTGGGCCAGACCACTCCTCCTGTCGCATAGAGAGGTTCTTGCAGGTATGGTGAATGCTACTGGATTCCTGGAGATGTTACACTGTTTTCTAGGTTCTTTGAACTACCCACTGCAGAGAATGGGAGTGTAGCTTAGTGCTGGAGCACTTGCCTAGTATGTGTGAGGGCCTGGGTTTGTTCTTAGTGAAAAAAGAAAGAGAGAGAGAGAGAGAGGGAAGAAAGAAAGAAAGAAAGAAAGAAAGAAAGAAAGAAAGAAAGAAAGAAAGAAAGAAAGAAAGAAAGAAAGAAAGAAAGAAAGAAAGAAAGAA